ACTCTACACACACACTGCATTCACTCTACACACACACTGCATTCACTCTACACACACACTGCATTCACTCTACACACACACTGCATTCACTCTACACACACACTGCATTCACTCTACACACACACACACTCCCTGCATTCACTCTACACACACACACTCCACACTCACTGCATTCACTCTACACACACACACACTCCACACTCACTGCATTCACTCTACACACACACACACTCCACACTCACTGCATTCACTCTACACACACACACACCCCACACTCACTGCATTCACTCTACACACACACACACACCCACACTCACTGTATCACCTACACACACACACACCCACACTCACTGCATTCACCACACACACACACCCACACTCACTGTACCACTCTACACACACACACACCTCCACACTCACTGCATTCACACACACACACACCCACACTCACTGCATTCACTCTACACACACACACACACCCACACCTCACTGCATTCCACTCTACACACACACACCCACACTCACTGCATTCCACCTACACACACACACACTCCACACTCCCCTGCATTCACTCTGCACACACACACTCCACACTCCCCTGCATTCACCCCCACACCACACACACACACCCACACCTCACTGCATTCACTCCCACACACACACCCACACACTCACATCCACTCACACACACACACACTCCACACTCACAGCATTCACTCTACACACACACACACTCCACACTCACAGCATTCACTCTACACACACACACACTCCACACTCACAGCATTCACTCTACACACACACACACTCACAGCATTCACTCTACACACACACACACTCACAGCATTCACTCTACACACACACCCACACTCACTGCATTCACCTACACACACACACCCACACTCACTGCATTCACTCCACACACACACCCACACCACTGCATCTCACTCTACACACACACACTCCACACTCACTGCATTCACTCTACACACACACACTCCACACTCACTGCATTCACTCTACACACACACACTCCACACACACCACACTCACTGCATTCACTCTACACACACACACACTCCACACTCACTGCATTCACTATACACACACACACTCCACACTCACTGCATTCACTATACACACACACACACACTCCACACTCACTGCATTCACTATACAATCCTAAAAATGAAAGAAGATAACTGGGAGAGATGCAGCCAAGGGAGTCACCAAGGTCTCCAAGCAACGGCCACCTGTTCTGGAGGAGATCGAGAAGTTGCTCCTGCTCTGGATTGAACAGAAGCAGCGTGCAGGGGACTCAGTGACCAAGGCGATCATCTGCAAAAAAGCCAAGGCCTTGCACGCTGACCTCCTCAAACAACAGCCAGGAACATCAGCAGATGCAGAAGGCTTCAAGGCCAGCAGGGGGTGGTTCGAAAGGTTCAAGACCAGATCTGGCATCCACAGTGTGGTCAGGCATGGAGAGGCTGCAAGTTCCGATGTTGCTGCAGCTGAGGAATTTGCTACGGAGTTCCTGGAGGTCATAGTTTCAGAGGGCTACCTTCCTCAGCAGGTCTTCAACTGCGACGAGACTGGACTCTTCTGGAAGAGGATGCCAGAATTTTTTGACCTTCATCACAGAAGAGGAGACCTCATTGCCTGGCCACAAGCCGATGAAGGACCGTCTTACCCTCCTGTTCTGCACCAACGCCAGTGGGGACCTTAAGATCAAGCCCCTGCTTGTCTACCATTCAGAGAACCCACGGGCCTTCAAGAAACACACGGTGAACAAGGAGCAGTTGAGCGTTTTGTGGCAGTCTAACCCAAAGGCTTGGGTCACACGCCTCTTGTTTGTGAAGTGGGCCAATGCGGTGTTTGGGTTCTGCTGTGAAGAAGTACCTTGTGGACAATAACCTGCCACTCAAGACCATGTATAGTCTACGAGTCCTCATCATCCAGGCCTCGAGGAAGACTTGCTGGAGGACTTTAATTTCATCAATGTCATGTTCCTTCCGCCTAACACCACCCCACTACTCCAGCCAATGGACCAGCAGGTCATCTCCAATTTTAAAAGAACTCTACACAAGGGAGCTTTTCCAGCGATGCTTTGAGATGACAGATCGCTCAAGCCTCATCCTCCATGAATTTTTGAGAGAGCATTTTGACATTGTGAGCTGTCTGCAGATTATCACCATTGCAGGGGTCAGCCAGACAAACCTAAATTCTGCTTGGCGCAACCTGTGGCCAGACTGTGTTGTGAAACCTGCTTCCAGTGCTTCTGCACCTGCACCAGAATCAACAGTGTTGGAGGAAATTGTTTCCTTGGGGAGGACCATGGGCCTGGAGGTGACTGAGGAGGATGTCTACGAGCTGGTGGAGGAACACGACCGTGACCTAACCACCGAGGAGCTGGTGGAATTGCAGGAGGCGGCGACGGAGGAGCAGACCGCATTTGAGGAGGAGGAGGAAATGAGTGAGGAACAGCTCTCTTCCACGGAACTCAAGGAGGCATGCCAAATGTGGGTAAACCTACAGACTTTGTACAGCAGCACCACCCAGATAAGGCTCTAGAACACAGACATCATGTCCCCTTTCCGAGGGATGCTTAAAAGGCGCCAGAGGCAGCAGACAATGGAAAGGTTCCTACAAAAACAGCCTAGACATGAAGAACCTGCTTGTGTTAGTGCTGCCCAATTGCCCTCGTCCTCCTTATCTTCCAAAAAGTGTTAAAATTGTTTTGAAATTTCCCATGTTTTCCCTGTTGACGTGTGATTTATGTACAGTTGAAGTGTACTGTACGTTGTTACCAACAGTCTGCCATATTTAAAAAGTTGATGTGTGATGTTTTAAAACAAAGTTGGATGATTGAAATGTTATTGCTTGATTAATCATGTCCCTGTACAGTATTTATGCCTTTAAAGTGCAATTTATAAAGAGTTTTGAACAGATAAATACTTTGACTTTTTTCTCACCTCCGGAACGCATTAATTGGTTTTCAATGCATTCCTATGGGAAACCGTGTTTCGGTTTACGAATTTTTTGCAATACGAAACGTCCCGGAGAACGCATTCAATTCGTAAACCGAGGTCCCACTGTATTTAAAATGTCTGCATTAGCTAACAGACCCATCTCTGTTTCCAGTGTACCTACACTTTTTTTTAAATTGATGTACTTATACCTACTTGTATTCCTAACACTGTAGTGTTCCTTTAAACATTTTTGCTGTGATATCCATTCCCAAAAGCAGAGCATGCATTTGTGCAGCCTGCAATGTCACTGGGCTATGTATTGGACAGAACGCCCCATACAAATAACACAGTCAAAATGAAGTCAACATGGCAATAATGTATCCACACACATCAGTAGTTCTGGAAAATAAGACATTAAGTAACAGCTCAGACAGTTTCAAGGCCTCCAAGCGCAAAACAGAAACACTAGGAACACGTAAATGACATTTTTCTTTTTTGATAACATTCTAAAAAAATGTCAGTCACATGCACAAAATACATTCAAATAAAAGAGTGACATTTGCACAAGTATTCACAGATGTGTCAAATTGTACTAAGGAAAGTTATTTTCGATCACATAACTACAACCAAAGATTGGTCAGGACACGGTATATACCATTTCTGAAATAAGTAACCCATGCAAATATCAGTGTGGTGGTCAATGCTGGAAGACTTGGTACCACATGATGTGCTGCAATAAATATGGAGGAGAAAAGAAAACGTATCCCTAAATCAAGCCCCATGTTTGGAGGTGCAAACATGGAGCACCCTACTAGTAGCCACCATCCTCATTTACCTAAAACCAATAATGGGACTCCCAGGCGACTGACGGATAACATAACGGTAAGAGGGAAACTTCCTGTAAGGCACTCACTATTTCCTCTTCAATAGCAGAAGGCATAAAAGTAGAGATAAAATGTAAGCTATACACCTGGAATCATCATTCCTATTCCGTGAGAAAGCAATGCTCGACCAACCATTTAAAGTTACATTATGCAATGCGTATAATGCTTTCAGTGAAATGACCACAGCTACTGAAGCTCTCACAACAATCATTCATTACTCCTCACGTCTCCTAAGCCAATTACTGGTAATCACCTATCGCCAGATTTGCTGAGAAGTGCTTGGAGTGAAACATGTATAGTCTACGAGTCCTCCTTTTGGGCAACACAAATGTGTAGCTACTGTTTGTTATTACTACATTGCTGGGCAATGCTGGGTGAGCACTACCCAGCACGCTACGGTAAGTTTCCAATTTGAATTTTTTCTTTGACGTTCATGCTGACAAAGTACATTATTATTATTATTATTATATTATTTATATAGCGCCAACAAATTCTGTAGTGCTGTACAATGGGTGGACTAACAGACACATAATTGAGATCAGACCACTGGACGTACAGGAACAGAGGGGGTTGAGGGCCCTGCTCGATGAACTTACATGCTAGAGGGAGTGGGGTATAGTGACAGTAACAGAGGGATTGAGGGCCCTGCTCAGTGAGGTTACATGTTAGAGGGAGTGGGGTATAGTGACACAGTAACAGAGGGATTGGGGCCCTGCTCGGTGAGGTTACATGTTAGAGGGAGTGGGGTATAGTGACACAGTAACAGAGGGATTGAGGGCCCTGCTCAGTGAGTTTACATGTTAGAGGGAGTGGGGTAATGTGACAGTAACAGATGGATTGAGGGCCCTGCTCAATGAGTTTACATGTTAGAGGGAGTGGGGTATAGTGACACAGTAACAGAGGGATTGAGGGCCTGCTCAGTGAGGTTACATGTTAGAGGGAGTGGGGTATAGTGACACAGTAACAGAGGGATTGAGGGCCCTGCTCAGTGATTTACATGTTAGAGGGAGTGGGGTAAGTGACAGTAACAGATGGATTGAGGGCCCTGCTCAATGAGTTTACATGTTAGAGGGAGTGGGGTATAGTGACACAGTAACAGAGGGATTGAGGGCCCTGCTCAGTGAGCTTACATGTTAGAGGGAGTGGGGTATAGTGACACAAACAGAGGGATTGAGGGTCCTGCTCAGTGAGGTTACATGTTAGAGGGAGTGGGGTATAGTGACACAGTAACAGAGGGGTTGAGGGCCCTGCTCGATGAGCTTACATGCTAGAGGGAGTGGGGTATAGTGACACAAAGGGTTAAAGTAGGGGAATTAAATAGTTTGTTACAGAAGGGTTTATTGAGTGTTTGGTAGGTCATTTTTGACAGGTGCAGGAACGGAGTCATGGGGTGGGGGATGAGAAACCTGCTGACAGTTTAATTAATACGCTTTAATGAAGAAGTGAGTTTTCAAAGATTTTTTGAAGGAATGGAGGCTGGGTGAAAGTCTGATTGAGGAGGGAAGGGAGTTCCACAGAATAGGTGCAGCCCTGGAGAAGTCTTGAAAGCGAGCATCAGAGGTGGGAATCCGGGCAGAGGATAGGAGTAGGTCTTGGGCTGAGCGCAGGGGTCTCGTCGGGACATACTTGTGTATGAGGGAGGATAGGTATGTTGGAGCAGCATTATGTAGGGATTTGTAAGCAAGCGCCAGAATTTTGAATTGGGCCCTATATCCAACTGGAAGCCAATGCAGGGACTGACAGAGAGTGGAGGCGTGGGAGGTGCGACCGGACAGGAAAATAAGCCTCACAGCCGCATTCATTATAGATTGCAGCGGTGCAAGCTGGGAACATGTAAGACCAGTGAGAAGGGGATTGCAGTAGTCAAGGCGAGAGAGAACAACAACAACAGCATGAACCAGTACCTTAGCCGCGTCCGTCGTTAGATATGGGCGGATGCGCACTATGTTCTTGAGTTGAAAGCGACAGGATTTGGCTATCGATTGAACATGGGGAGTAAAAGAGAGATCAGAATCAAAAAGAACCCCTAGGCAGCGAGCCTGGGAGGTAGAGGTGATAGTAGCGCCGTTGACTTGGATGGAGACAGACACAGGAGTAGCAGCACTTGAGGGAGGAAAAACTAGAAGTTCTGTTTTGGACAGGTTGCGTTTAAGGAAGTGAGCAGCCATCCAGTTGGAAATAGAGAGGCAGTCAGAAACACGAGTCAAAGTGGGCGGAGAGAGATCAGGGGAGGACAGGTAAATTTGCGTGTCATCTGCATATAAATGGTATTGGACGCCAAAGGAGCTGATGAGTTTACCAATGGAGGCAGTATAGATAGAGAACAGTAGGGGGCCGAGGACAGAACCTTGGGGGACGCCAACAGGGAGGGGTTGGGGAGAAGAGGCACAGCCAGAGAAAGAAAACACTGAAATAGCGCTGGGAGAGGTAGGAAGAGCACCAGGAGAGAGCAGTATCCCGTAGTCCAAAGTTTTACAGAGAATGTGAAGAAGCTGTTGACGATCAACAGTGTCAAAGGCGGCAGAAAGATCAAGGAGGATTAGGATAGAGTATTGGCCGCGAGATTTAGCAGCAATTAAATCGTTGGATACATGGCTTTTTAGTTTTAATGCTAAAAACATAAAAAGTTTAACACATTCATGAGCACATATGAAGAAAGGAAAATTTGCTAATTTCCATGGCAACTACTCACCTGTAAAACTTTGTATATGAAAAGTAAAAAAAAAAAAAAAAAAGTGTCAACATTTTTTGTCATTTTGCTTTAAACTGATGGTTTTGTGTAGAGATTAGAGACACTGTAGGCATCATTACTGTTTCAAGTGAAAAAAGTGGTTATGGTGCCTGGTGTCCAATGTTAAATGGTTTATTCAGTATTAAGCAGAAATTTTATTTCCTGAAAGGCTGCAGCCAGGGCCCCAATCGCAATATGGCAAAGGTGCCATATTATTTCTAACTATGAAACCCTGAAGTGATAGGCCGAGACAAGACCTCCACTAAAGAACGAGGCGGGGCACAACTCCACCTTTGCCATATCGCCATTTGGAGCCAGACTACAGCCTGTGAGGGACATCTATGTCAAAGGGACTCTGGGTGCCATGCACCCCACCTCTAACCCAGCAGCTGAAAATTGCTGTTCTGTAGAAACAGCAATGTTTTTGATGCAGTAGTTTCTGTAGAACTAATACACCCCTAGTTCTATCTCTCTGAGACCACCTGATTGGTGCAGGATGGCATTGCTTTGCATGCGCACTTTCCTCCCAATACTTTCCTATCATGATGATTTCAGCCAAAGATGTAAAGTGGAACACCAGAGACCAGCGTTGCAAGGGAGTAAAGGTAAGTAAAAAAAAAAAAAATATCACCGTTAGCCCAGTCGCCTAAACTGTGACTAGGGCATTACACATTTCTAACACTAAACTGTTTCTTTAAATGGTGAGTAAACAGCGCGTGCACAGTTTCAGTAATTGAATAGGTTATGATGCCTACAGTGTTCCTGTAAGCCCATAAGTCTAATATTTGTTTTTTCTTTAACAGGCACAATCCAATTACACATAGAAATGTGCTACATGACGGGCCCAAGCATAGGAAGGCCTATATATCGCACACGAGAGGAAAAGGATAAAATGACAAAAGCCTCATATTGCACAAAATATAAAACAAAGCATTGATGCCATCGCCAGCCTACACATGCATTGCTAGAGTTTGCTGGTATTAGAGCTTAGAAAATAAGCTGTGGGGAAAAAATATTAATCACTGCACACAATGAATTTAGGAGGCAACTTATCAGTTCATGAACTGGCTGTTAGTAAATGGGTTATATTAAGAACATTTACAAGGTGTACACTGGGCTGCTCAAGGCCTGTCAGAGCACTCTGCAGAAATGGACAGCTCCCAAATGCAATGAATGATTCTGCACCATTCCAACAACAATATTTATGAAATAAAAACAATATTGAGAATGACAAGCTCCTGTAAACAGAACCCATTTCCGCTCATTAATAGTAATTTTATTACTAATCTCCAGGACTCTAGTGCCATGATACACAGTCTGACATAGACGCCATATCTTTACTAATAAACATTCCCCAGTGTCACTTTACTGTGCACGAATGGAAGGAAACCGTCAGCTGTGACACCCTCAGAGAAAAACAAACTTCGAAAATCTGTCCAGAGATCTGTTCAATTTCATGATGGATAAACAGAAAAAATAAGTCAAAACAAATTCTTTAAATAGAAAAATGTCTAACCTAAATTTAAAAGGTTTAATGTAATATGCTAAAGTAGCATAATGGATATGGTTACGTTCTGGCAGATCAGCTGACGCATTCCACTACAAAAAGAACATTCCTTTTCCATAAAAACAAAACACAGGTACCAGGTATTTAAAATACAGCATTTGATTTCTGACCTCCTACCCAAGAAGCATTGGTCCGGTCAGTGCCCTAGCCTTTCCCACATGGTAACCATGGCACCATTCTCAGTGATTGCACCACATGCCCCGTGTTTTCAGTGCCTCCTAATGCTCCCAGCCAGTAATTGCAGTCATGTCATCATTCCCGTCGTGGTCAAACACAGCACACAGACTGACAACCATCAATCTCGTCCTGGTCAGACACAGCACACAGACTGACAGCAATCATT